ATACATACATATTTATATACATATATATCTTCATATATATATATATGTATACATGTAGAAAATGTGTGCATATGTTTAAGTTTGTCTCTCGTTCGACTACTCGTCGAAGATGCTAGATAGATCTACAAATGACAAGTCGTTGCCAAGAGAGATGCTTGTGCCTCTCAGGAAGACAAAGTCGGGGTCCTTCTGTACGGTGTCCGGGAGAAGCAAAACCCCAACAACTTTGATGGCATTCGACTGCTGCTGGAGCGTATGGGGTGCGTCATGAACTACACTAAGAGCTCAGGCTTGCCCATGAGGAAACTTCTTCTTTCCATCGGGTCTCGAGTATGTTTTGCTCTTGAAGTTGCATGCAGGTGGTCGTATCCATTTATTCCTGCAGTGATCAGTTGCAGCACAGAGCTTGTCGAGTACACATTGGAGCAACGATGCTGTTCGCGAGGACCTCGACCGCCCCAGTGAAACTTTGGTTGCACATGAGTGACAGGGCGTTCGGACTTCAGGATTGTCTGCGTGCTCACAAGGCCATATGGTGCCTACTCTTGTGATTGATGTGACTAAGCAGTTCTTGCCCATGGCCTAGTGTGCTTTGGTCCTTTGATCACGTGAGACCCCTCGTCGTGTGTCACGAAGCCTCGAGGCCGACCTGGGGCCACTAGGGTCTGGAATCCAGAAACTTCGAGAAGATGTAGTGACTCCAAGCCCTACTTGAAAAACCCTTGTCCCGGACCAGGGAACCCACGTAAGCTTTTCAGAATCCGCCCTTTCCTCGCACGGCCCTCACAGGCCCAGCGCATCAAGCAGCTGCAGCAGGTCGCCTGCCTTATGTGGTATCGGATGCAGATCTGAAGGTGTAATGTTTCAGGTTTTCAGCGACACGTCTTTGCCAGCGATGGTGTTTCTATGAGTTTTGCACTACTGGTCTTTCTGGGGGTCCCAGGAGTCCGCCCGCACGCCCGCGCAGCTTGCTGAGCGCTACGGCCCGGGACTCAGATTGTCAGGGCTCGGTGGTATTTTGAGTTTCTGGGTGAGAAGGTTGGAAGTCGAGGCTTCGAGGCTGGAGGGGTTAGGTAAGTTTTGGGTTTGGGGGATTTTAGGTTGGAGACAGGATGTCGGATCTCAAGGCTTGATGTTGAGACATAGTCTTTGGGATTTGGGGTTCAGGCGTGAAGGTCTAATGATTCATGTAGCTGACGTGACGTTGAAGACCAAGACATCTTTCGAACGGAATCTGTCCATAAACCCTAAGGCCCTAAACCCTAAATTTTTTCCTAAACCCTGAACAGTTCAAATTGAGTGAGAGATTTGGCACTTCTCCAGTCTTTGGAGTTGCAAGTTCAGACTCCTTCATCTCCTGCCGGGGTAGATGACAGTGCCGGAACCCAACACCTTCAACACCCAAGACTCCAAATCCTTCGTAGGTGTCGGGCGTCCGGTGCCAGTTTCAGCAACCTAGCTGCATCTTGATACTCGCGTGCCGATTGCGGAGAGGTTCCGACAGGATTCAACTTTGGCTGGAAAGCATCCGGCAGTCACGCTATTTTATTGTTAGCAGTCAGAAAGCGATCCAGTAGTAGCCACTTGCTGACTTGCGCGGCAGGATGTCTTCTGGACTTCTACGACGATTTTCAATTTAGGTGCGAACCAGTGCCCCGGCCTACAGAGAGGTCGGTCCAGAGTCCTCGAAAGATCTCGAGATGGGAGAGTACTCGTAGGGAGTCTCAGAGTGGGGTGTTTTCCAGGTCGCAGTTCGACTCGCGCATTTTCCTCTTCACGTGCAACGATGCTCCTTCTGCAGCACGGGAAGAGCTGGCGGCAGCACGTACCCGCGTGCAGGTGCAGCATCGCATTGCAGTCTTGACACTCATTGATGCTTTCGAGCGCCTGCCGAGAATCAGTGTACTATGTTGATATGCACGCAGCCCTTCCACACAGCTTGAATCTCCGCTGCGCCAAAGAAGGAATTCTGCCCCGTGCAGGATCTGATGGATATGGGTGTGGTGGTGGAGTTCTTCCCACTGCACTTCCCCGATCAGGACCTGTGTAGTAGCTAGGTTTCAGGACGCAGACCTGCGGATTGTAGCTTAAGTTGCAGTGGGTTGGAAGTTCCGGCCGGCTTCGAGATCTTGTAATTTATCCATGGCGTCACCTTATTCGTATTCCGATTTAGGGCTTTCATAAACAGAAAACACATCCTGAAAACAAGATCCCAGGAGCCCCAAGCCGAAAATGCACCCGAAAACCGCAGATCCTTGGAACTTCAGACTTTACACAGAAGCAGTACGGCTAGGGCATGGTGTCGTGAAGACAAGTACGAATCGTTGCCCTCTTAATCCAAAAAAGTTTGGGGCTGCATAGGGGTTTAGGGTTTAGGGTTTAGGCTAAAGGCCCACAGGGTCTCGTACCATCGTGAGGACTTCAGCATTGAGCGCTTCTGGGGCGAGCTCCTTCCTGTCGACCCCACAGACTACTTGCAAAGGGCCGCAGTGCGTCTGGAAGTGGCCCGGACAGATTTGAGGTTGGGGAGTTTTGTGACTCGAGGGGTCTTCTGTGGGCCAAGAGTTGGGCAGGCCACTTTCTCATTCTGTCGAGACCAACATGACCGCTGTGTTGTCAGTCTCGAATTGCACAAGAATGCGCAGCTTTGGCCATCATCTTGTGACATCCTGCCGTACTCCCCATGCTTTGCCTGCAGCCATCAGACTAAGGATGTGGAAAGAGTGGTGAGGATGCGCACGCACCGCAAGCGCACGCTGCAGAGGTTGGCCTTTCACCTTTGCCCAGGTGCTTTGGTAGCCCTTGGCAGGTTTCATGAATCAAGGCTACTTTAAGGGTTTAAAGGCGTTGGATCAAGCAGTTCATTCGATTTTGCATTGTTGCTCCAAGTGAATGTTGTCGCAAGGTGTTGAAGCATCTGTCTCTGTGTTTGTCACCATGCTGGAAGCCAAAGTGCCACCGCCCGTCTACTTGCTGAACGATGCTTGGCCTATATTCCTGGGTTCCAGTCCTACTTTAAGGCGGCTAGATATGACAAAGCTGTGAGCGAGTGCAACTTCTAGTTTCACCCACCGGTGATACATCCTAGTCTTTGCTGTTGCACGGCATCAGCACCTGCTTGTGGTCCAGGAGAACAACAAGCCGCTGAAGGCAGAATCAAAGCAGATTTGTGAGCAGACTGGTGCGCTGCTGCACCCGGTGGATGACATCGCCACGTATGTGGAGGCCGGGGGTGTGGGGCATGAACAACGAAGCTTCTTTAGACAGGCACGAACGACTAGTCGTGCTGCACAAACGACTAGTGCTGTCCGCCATGGATTCTGTCAAGGTGCTTTGACCGGAGCACGTAGACACAGCATGTGCACTTATGCCGAGCCCCGCAGTGCTCGGTGTTGTGGTCACAAAGCGTTCGGAAACAATCGGAATGTGCTCTTCCCATAGATGTCATGATGTAGATTTGCAATTTTCGAGGTGAACATGTCCAGGGCGCCAGGTGACGACGATGCACATGCACATGTCCTGTTCATCTGCCATGACATCTTGTGGCAAAATCAATGTACGACGAGATCAAGCTCCAGCCATATCTAAACAGAATGGCCGGCACATCTGCATCGTAATTGCCCGGACGTGTTTCCCCAAAGCAGGGACCTCGTTCTCACTCCTCTGAAGCAGTCTCGGATCCGTTTGACATGCAGAGGAGGTCAGAGGCTGTTGAAGCGTTGAAGACATTTGGGTGTCACGAGACATACGAGACTGAACTACCGGCTTGATCAGGGTCGGTAGCTCACTGAGCATTGAGGTCATGTGACCAGAGCTGTCAGCCCTGTTGCACGGATTGCACGGCAGGTTGCGGGCCATCGGATCTTTGTGACTAGAGCGGAGACGCAGGAGCTCCTCTGCGTACCTGTGGACTTGAGCGAATTGCCGAATGTCGGAGACTGGGTGCAGTTGCATGTGCTAGCCTTGCTCCCAGCATGCGAGGAGGCAAAGCACTTCGGCGATCCCTCGCTTCGGGTGCTCGGTTTCAAGCCGCTTGCCAGTTTGAGTTTCTCGACGTGTACAGGGATGTTTTTTCAATGCACGTGAGTCCAAGGCCCCTCAGCTCCTTGCAGGATCATCACCGCATGTTCCATGCCTACTTCGTCTACCCGAACGAGCGAGGCAAGGAGCTCCGACTTGCTCCGACTGGGCCCTTTTGTGGCGCCTGCCCCGCACCATAAGGAATGTGACCCCGAAATAGTATCGACAACCCTAAACCCTAAACCCTAAGATAGTAACGTGACCTGAGCCTCCCCTCCCTGGAACCGGAAGGCTTCACAGGCTCGGCCGCGCTGCTGTCGTCTCTGGTCAGTGCCCTGGCATCAACCCCTGGCCTGCAAGGAGGGATCGTTTCTGCGCACTTTGAGTGGGGAGTCTCCGATCCTGGGGCCAAGCTGCTACAGCGCCCCCCCGAGCCGACTTCCTTCCCCTCTCTCACCCCACAGAGATGGGCAGGCTACCTGAAGCAATGAACCTAGCTTATGTTACACAGTGTTGCAGTTGCAGTGAGACCTGTTGGCGCCGCTCCAAACTTCAAGCCTTTAAGCCGTTGAGGCGTCATGCTGGAGCGAAAGGTTCTGGCCTTGGCAAGCTACGTTGCACGGCGCAACAGCGAGCCAGTTCTGGTTGCCCTCCTACCGCAGGCCCGGTCGTTGCACCATTGGTGCAAATTTGATCAAGATGTAGAAAAGATTCTGGCAAAAATTCTCCTTGTTCGCAAGAAGCAGTTTTGGGAGGCAGAGGTCGAGGAGGATGGCGACCAGAGGCAGCCACCGGGCTTCCACATGGTGCGCCTTCCCTGGGCCGAGGACGCGGCGTGTCAGGGACCAGGCTTTATGCTCAAAGGTGAACCCGACAGGAGTTGGGCTGTGATCCCTGAACCAATACTAATACCTCCAAAAAAGGCCTTTCGGCTCCTGAGTTTTTGCCTCCAGAACTCGTGAAATCCGTAAAGTGCATGACCCGCTTAGAGACCCAATGGTTGATGGCGTTGACTTGACAACGATTTCAACAAGAAGACTGAATGTCAACAATCCTCCTGTAACTCCCTGGCAGTCTCTCTAGAGCACCGAATCGATAATGTCTCAGCATATGCCGACGTGCAGGAGATAAGGCAGCTGAGTTTCTTGGGCGCATGCCAGAGCGGTCAAAGTTCCTGTCAAGTTGGGGTGTAGTATGTAGACATGTGATTTGCTTGCAAAACAGCCACCGGTCCAGGTCAAGAACATGGTCTCTTTAATGTGATAGGGAAGGCATGGTCCCCGCCATGCACTGCTGGCATATCAGTCGATTACCATCAAGGCTCAGTGTCTCCGGTTTCTCATAGGCAAACCTTTTGCCACTGAGGTTGGCCAGCTCCTGGCAAACATATTCTGCTGGTTTCAGACGCAGTCTTGCATCACTCTCGTTGCCACAGCTGAACCCTTCGGTGTGGAAAGACTTCGTCCTGTCACACCTTCCCTGTGTGGCTGTATAGAAAATTCATGTGTTTTGGGTTTCCACATATGTTTACACAGCAAAACATGAAATGATAATGCTGACAACCTTTTTCGGGCACAGAACGTCCGTATGCTTGCGAGAACGTGCCAACAACTCAATGGAAAGCACCATCATCGTCATCACCATCATCACCGGCATCATCATCACGGTCATCGTGATGATCATCTTCATCATGACACCCAGACCACCGGGTAACTATGATTCCCAAGCCAGAGCTTCTTCCAGCTGCAGGTTTCCCTTTAGCTGATGGCTTCCCGGCCGTGATGCCCGAGAACCTCAAGGCCCGTGAAGACCACTCTCTGTTGGGACCATTGAGCAATGTTGTATAAGACGGCTCTGATTAAAAGAGACAGAAAAGGGGGTGTATGGCGCGTATGTATGCATGTAGGTATGCATGCATGCATGCATGCATGCATGCATGCATGCATGCATGCATGCATATGTGTATATATACACATGTGCATATATATATATATATATATAGAAAAAGAGATCGATAGTTTGGAGTTCTGGGTTAAGGGTTGCCTGGGATCGAGCTAATGTCGGGATGGAGCTGAGTGGCAGTGAGGGGGACATGTGCAGCAGTTTTAGGATCTAGTAATTCAGGACTTTAGAGTTGGAGCAGATTATGAGGTTTGGGAGGTTAGTCTGTTTTGGAGTTTAGGGTTTAGGGCTTGTGCTTGTCCCAGCCACTGGCGGCCGGAAAAGGTGGATTCACTCCGGGCCACTGAAGCAGTTCACGACCCAGAATTAGCCCACGGAAGAGGTGCCCTGAGACCAGAACTCTCAGCCCCGGCAATCTCTTTCAGCCTTAAGGCCTCCGCTGTCCTTCAGGAGAGGGCCCAAGAGGTGGTCCGGTCCTTGCAGCTGCCCGACTTCGTGCCGGGCTGCGCAGAGAACCCGGCCGCTCGTAAGCCGTTTTGGGCTTCAGGGCTTCAGGGCAGGATATGGCAGGATGGCTTCGGAAGATCTCGGGGTGAAGATGTTGTTTTCGGAGTTCGAGCGAGGCCTCGCCCGTCTACGCTTTGGGTTCCGTGTCTCGAGCTCTTTGCCTCACGGTTCCGGCATAAGCTGTATGCTTCTGGGTGTAGTGCGAACTGTCGGGTTTCCAGGAGGAGCCGTAGTTTGATTGAGGCAGTTGTATGTTGTATGCTGTCTCTCTGATCAGCTCAGGTTCTGCAGAAGCACTACGCAGCTGTGCAGGCAGACACACTCGACTTGCTGCATGAGATCTGAAGTACAGCGCTCGCTGAGTTGTCTGTGGACCCACATCGAAGTCGTCTCCAGCCGCCAGTTGTGGGCCACAAGATGCTAAGTAGAATTAGAAACTGCCCCTTATGAGATTATGCCCGCAGGCATTGGCTCTTTCAGAAGAGCAGCAGCTTCGCAGCACTCAGGTTCTCAGAGCGCTGTTCGGGCTGTCCACTTGTCGCGGCCAGGCCTGAAGAGACCGTGGATGTTCTGCAGCCAGACGCAGCACATCTAGAGACCAAGAAGCCGCTCTTCTTGGCCTGGAAGGAGGCCGCTGAACTTTCGGATGTGAAGATTTCACTCGAAGCCCCAAGCCTGAAACCCAGGCCCTCGATGCAGCAGCGCCGTTGAGGAAGCGGGCGGCTGCCGAGGGCGAGGCGGATCGCGAGTTGCGATTGTCGTTCCCCTCCTCTCCTCTGTCTGACGGCCAGTCAGAAACACCTGCAGCTCCAATTCGACGCCCCAAATGAAACCTTTAGGTCCTAACCGTGTACCCGGCCAGGCCCCAAGCCTCCCCATCCCGAAACAGGGTGCCGCAAAGAAGTTCCCTCGACGGGAAGCGCCCGCGGTCCCTGTGGATTTGGAGGCCCCGCCTTTGACTCGAGGGAGGAAGGGCAGGGCAATGGGGACTTGTCGAGATGAAGGTCAAAGCGAGGGCCTGGTGGTGAGCCGGAGACCTTTCTTTGCGGCTTTTGCTTTTGTGGCTCAGTTGCGAGTTTATGGACCCTCATTCTCCAAAGGCCATCAGCCGCAGAATCCTCCGACACCTGCCCCCCCTCCTTAAGACCAAAGCCTGTGTCGCCATGTCCCGACGCTCGAACTCCGGTGCCCTGCCCTTGGTGGCTGTCCTCTTCGGCGTCTATGCCTTGAGCTTCGTGGGCCCTTCGGCGCAGCAGCGCAAGGGCACCGCCCTGCGTGCCGGCGGGGAGAGTGTTCCCACAGGCTTGGTGTGGCCCTCGCCTGAGGCAGAAGAGAAGCTGCGTGAGGTGGATGGCATCAAGCTCTACCCCACCCATGCCTGGAAGGATGAGATGGACCCCATCGTGGATTCCTCTGCCAAGCTCGAGGACACTCCCGTGATCGTGGGCGTTGCAGCCGATTCGGGATGTGGAAAGTCCACCTTCCTCCGTCGCATCCTGGGCGCCCTGGGCACAGAGGTGAAGCCCGGGCACACGGCTATCGGGGACATGATGACCGTGATCTGCTTGGACGACTACCACACCAACGACCGTGCTGGGCGCAAGGCCATCTGCCTGAAAGTCAGGATCTCTCCGGTTGTCGGACCTCGTCATTTTAGCTAATGACCAGTCTTGGCAGCAACACAGCCAAACCCTTTAGAGGTAGGGAGGCACGGAAGGTACAGGGACTTCTAGACCGCATCCAAACAATCCGAGCATGGGAGCACCCGGAATTGGTGCACTGATGCCCAAATCGACCAGAGCTGCGGAAGCAAGGGGCCCCAAGCCCAACGACGTGAGGTTGATCCATCCGGGGATGGTGATCCCTTTCGGGGTTGTAGCTTACTTTCAAGATGTTTCACAAGATCTTCAAAGGTTAGAAGCTGAACCACGTACTAGATGTGGTTGAGATTCGTGAGTGCCGCGCACTTCAAGCTCGGTTGAGAAAAGTGACTGCCTTGCCCAAGGCCACTGGCCTCACCGCCCTGGATGCCCGAGAGAACGACTTCGCTCTCATGGGTGCTCAGATCGAGGCCCTGAAGACCGGCAAGGCGGTCTACAAGCCCATCTACAACCATGACACCGGCAACAAGGACCCACCTGAGCTCATCGAGCCCAACAAGGTCATGGTTTTCGAGGGCCTGCACCCCATCTACGACGAGAAGGCGCGCTCACAGTTGGACCTGGCGATCTACATTGACATCGTCAACGATGTCAAGTTCGCATGGAAGGTCCAGCGCGATGTGGCAGAGCGTGGCTGGACGGAGGAGCAGGCCGGCCAGCTTCCCATCAGAAATACTTGCACGCTTCTTCTGCTCTTCTGCTCTGTGTAGCCAGAACATGGCCTTAGAGCGAAAAAGCTGAGAGGTCAGGGAGGACATCGAGAAGCGTCTTCCTGACTTCTCCAAGTACGTGGACCCCCAGAAGGCCAACGCGGACGTGGTGCTGCGCTATGAGCCTTCCGACAAGGGCCTTCCCTTCCTCAAGGCTGAGTGCAAATCAGCCAGTCAGTAGATTTAGGCTAAGTGTGGCTTCACTAGCTTTTCTGCCATGTGATCCGTGCAGCACTTACGAGGCAGAAATCGCAATCCCTCATCTAATCCGCGGTCTTAGCTGGGGTCTCCCCGGGAGGTCAAGCTCATCCAGAAGAAGGGGGGCAAGTTCCCCATGGTCACTCTCAAGAAGGCTGTTGGTCAGGGGGAGCCACCGAAAAACCCGATGCCCCGTGAGCACTCTCCTTGGGTGTAGCCCCAAAGACATCCCGAGACCGAGCCACACCTGCAAATTTCACGAAGACACACCCGCAAAAAGAGCCTGCACCACACCACAGGACCTGAGCCTCTCCGGGAGCGAGCCTGGCGCCACCCTGAAGGCAAGGCTTGGAGTGACAAGAGGAAGCTTGGAGTGGCAACATGAGGAAACATGGCAAACAACATAGCAGCCGTATTCGTGACAGTAGCCGAGCAGGTATGGTACAGGTGCAAGTATTGTTCCAAGGCCTGCGAAGAGCTTGGTAAATTAGATACTACGCTCCAATCCCAAGTTCTTGCCCACACAGACGGCATGAGTTTGCTGTTCTTGGCTTTCGGACGGGAGTTGTGATGGCAGGGGCCCTTGGGCCCTAGGAATGTGAAAACCAAACGTCTTACAGCTCCGACCCAGCATCTAGCGTCTAAAGTTTTTGCGACTCCGACCCGGCAGCTTCCAACTGGGGGGTTTGGGAGGGCGGACAAAATAGGTTTGTCAGAGCGGCCTTTAGTCTAGATAATTTCCGCAGATGTACGATGACGACTGGTTCGGCAACGATGTGACTGTGGTGGAGATGGATGGCGAGATCGACATGGACAACATGGAGGAGCCTCCAGAGTAGTTGAACAGTTCCGGGCAGAGCGAAACTCTCGTACCGTGCATTGTTGGGTCTGCTTAAAAGTCCCGGTGCGCCTTTTTCAAGTTTGTTGCAGGTGAACCCCAGAGCCCCAGCGCTTTTTTGCGCGACTGCTCCAGGAGCAGCTCAAGGAGATCGAGTCCAATCTGGAAGGCCTTGGCGCGAAGTCGGCCGAGGAGCTGACTGAGGCTTCGGGACTTCGGGCAAAAGCATTCCTGACGGGGCTCCCTCATCGGGGTCGTGTAGAGTTGTAAAAAGGTGCCCAAAACCGTTCTGACCTTTTCAACTCCCCTGTGCTAGGCAGGGCTTTTGTCGTAAGAAGTAGCAAGTCCGTTGGCAAGAGTGGGCAGAATGCCAGCAACAGCAGTAGGCTTGGATTCGGAAGATCGGGCTTGAAGATTGACAGAGCCATTGGTTTGCTCTCGCTGAGCTGCCTTTCTGCAGAATCTCCAAGAGCCTCCCAAACCGCGAGCAGTGCAGCCTGAAGTTCCGAATTGTCCAGTTGCAGGAGTTCTGCTCGTGACCGGACATGCCAAACTTCCCAAACCCCGAACCCCAAACCCGAACTTGAACCCAAGGACGGAAAAGGGCCCCCCCGCATTGTAACAGAAAGCCTTGAACCCCACGCCATGCTGTAAAGGCCATGGTGTCGCTGAAGTCTTCCCCGGGCTCGCAGAACGGAACTGGCCTTCTTCAGACTGTCATCGCCATGAAGGTGTGGAAACGCAGAGCTTGGGGCTTGGGTCTTATGGTCTTGGCTTTGATTTCTAGGGTTTGTTTAGGATGTCCAAGTCACGACTTTCCAGCCCATCCTAGTTTCCTTGCCGTTGAATGGGAATCATGCAGGGGATCGTAGTTGCAGATGAGGGATGCTCGTAAGGAGCTTTTCGAGCACCAGTCGTGACACTTCTTTCTGCAGACACCGTGCAGCTGAAGCATAGTCTCCAGATTCTGTTTCTAGGGTGTTCTAATAGGCAGCATGTCCAGAATATGGCTGGTGTTCCTGATCTCGGAAGAGCTGCGCGGTAAATTCCGAAGCGAGAGGTCCGAGAGATCTACGAGAAGATCACGGGCAAGGATGCTTAGAAGACTTGGCGCTTCTGGCCCAATGAGCCCCGCAGGGCGGATCCATGAGTCCTCCCTGCTCCTTGATTTTTAGATAGAGCCTCCACTCATCAAGGAAGCCATACGGCCCTGAACCATATCAATTCCAGCCCTAAGCCCCCCAAAAATCCCATATCTTAAACGGTTTAATTTTCAAGATGTGTCCTGTACAGCAAACAGATGGCTGCTGGTGGAGCTGTGGGGCGTCGAGGACGTGAACCCTGAGGAAAGTAACAATTCCACAAAGTTCGATCGTAAAACCCGGGGTCGATTTTGCTTCGGAGCCTAGCAGCCTGGGCAGCGCATTTTCTCCATGGCATCTCCAGATAGGTGCCTAGTCCTTTAGAAGCTCTGCTTCTTGGCATCACGCCAAGCAGTCGCATTCTCCTCCCGCTGAACCAAAAAGACGGAATGCATTCTGGACGTCTCTATTGGCATGTGTTTTAGGATGCTCTGCTGTTGGAATTTCCTGATTCCGCGGACAACTCGTGATTCTTAAGGCAGTCTTGCCTTTCCTTTGCACTTTTGTACCTAACATTGTTGTATATGTCTGTTGATCAGGAGCTTGATTTCGAAAGTCTCGACAGCTACTGCAGCAGGAAAAGTCCAGTTTGTCTCGCTGGCCAGGCAATGCGCGCTTTGGTGACGTCTGGCCCTGGCCTTAGGCACAGCTTTCCAGAGTTGAGCTGAGACATGACAGTTGGACAGTTCCAGGCTCTTGTGAAGTGGGCTGCAGGTGAAGTGATTGCGATTCTCATGTGTGAGGTGAGTTTGAAAGGCTGACAGTCCCGGCGCTGCGAGACTGGCTGAAGGGGCAGGGAATAGCCAACACTGGGAAGAAACAGGATCTCCTGGATCGTATCCGTGCGTGCGTCTGATAGGCCTACAGTTTCTATGCCCACGAGCAGCAGGTACTGTGTCTAGCGGCGTGTACGTACGGCAAGTCTGTGCTGACTATTTCCTTTGATTGCACAGGAGTGGGATGGCTGTATCCGGTGCGAGTGTTCGAGTTCGAGTTTCGGGATGAGATCAGCAGTTGCAGGCTTGAGGTTTACAAGCAGCCTCTGTCCAGTGAGCTGACCGAGCGGTCGATGTCCACGACAGGAAATTACAGGACATGCCAAGATTCAGTACCCCTTTATGCACATTTGCGCATGCGGAGATCCCCAGCAGCCTGTGTGGAACACATGGGGTGCTTCTGTACAGTGGGTGAGGCCTTCGGCCTTGGACTCGGAGTCGAAGGAGCAGCCTAACAACTCATAGGGTTTAGGGCCGTTTAGGGTTTAGGGTTCTAAGCATCGAGCCCCCAAGACCTTGAGCTGGCTGCTCTTCGACTCGCAGCTGGCTCCCAGCTGAGTCTGGGTTCCGGGAGCTTAGGGCTCTGCTTCTGCCTGGAGATGCGGCTCTGCGGTCGGGGAAAACAGGGTGAGTTCTTTGCCGGAGTCCAGTTTGTCGAACGGGTTAGAATTCACGATTCATACACCAAGCGCCGCCAACCATCTGTTTTTGGAGCTGTACTTGGTTGTGGTTCCCAATGTAACTAGAGGAACTTCTGAGCAAGTGCTGCTAGAGACGATCGTGAATGAAGTCCTTAGTGAGTTCACGTGGTCGGTTTGATCTGCGGTAGTTGCTGGGGCTAAAGGCTTGGCATTTGGAGTGCAGGCATGGCTCCCAGTCGGCGGCCCGGCATGTCGCCTGAGGCCGTGGCGGGACGCAGAGAGGGCGGAGCCAGGTCTCCATGGTTTCTTGCACTTTGTTCTTCTGTGCTTCTGCGGACAGGTTGGGCTGGACAATGGTTGATCCTGTATGGTGTGGATGGCTCGCTTATGGACCGTAGCTGTGCAAGCATCGATCGCTTCGAAACGCTGGTTGCTTTCCTCGTCTGCAGGTCGAGGCACGGGTTCTTGGTCAGCGAGGGTTCAATGAAACCACACGATGAGCATGCTTCGCATCTCCTTGCAAGACAGCTCGATAGTCGAACGGCTTTCTGTCCTTAGCTCACCGAGACTTGCGAGGCCGTGCTTGCACGAGTTCCGCCGTGGCAGTCCCGATTGACGATCTTCAACTTCCGCGTTCACTTCTTGCGTGGAGGAGTTCCAGTCCACGAATGCCAAGCGAAGACCATCAAGGAAGCCAGATCGTCTCTTCTAAGTCTTTGGCCCTTTCCGGATTTCCCGCCGCGAAGTCGCAGCGTGTCCTATCGGGCCTCGAAAGGAAGGGCAGCCGCTCGCCAAAGCCGGGCTTTTCAAAGACGTCATTAACAAGGAGCCCGGGCCCATCCCTTCATATTCGGGCCTTGTGTTCCAGAAGCAGACAACCGCGGATGCAAACTGGACCAAGCTTTGCACAAGTTCAGTGGGCCCGAAAATAGGAAGGTGCAGTGGGCAACTGGCAATGAAGATACATGCCATTCCACGACTCCTGTCCAGTTTCGCAAAGGTGAGCGCAGCAGGTTCTCCCAGTGAGCTGGATGCAGAACTGGTAACAGTGGCAAGGTGATTGAGCCTTTTAGAAAGGTGTCCCAGATCTCGCTCGGAGCTTGGAAGAAGGCATGGCCGAGCCCACATTAACTTGATGGCTGGACCCGAGCCGCGGCAGTCTTCTTCAGTCTTCGTGACAAGGGGCCCTGCCTTGCTGCCCGCGGTGTCCTGAGACGACGCTGATAAAGTCATAAAGCATATAAGGCTTGATCATCCGCCCCAGTGTCTGTGTCCGCTGTCCGTGTCCACTTGCAGCTAACTGCGGGACGCTTTCGGCACCTGTGCCGCTGAGAGACAAGGGGCCATCTGAGCCGCTCTGGCTACCAGCTACAAGTGTCTGGCACAAACCGATCTCTTGTGCAAGCGCGATAAGCTGAGCATTTTCGAGATCCACGACTCTGAACCTGGAGCGGTGCTGGACGGGGAGCTCGTAGAAGGCATGGACCCAGCCGCCACCCAGAAAAGGACGATCACCTGCTGGCAGTGAGCATGCCGTTGAGGAAGAGGTCTCCACCAGCGTCTGCGAGACAGTCTTGGGCCGCCACCCAGAACCAAGTTGCCAGAGCCCCTCGGTCCCCAGCTCGTAGTCTCAAGCTGCAAGCTTGGGCAACTTGCGCTCGACCTGTGAGCCGGAGTTGGCGTCGAAAGCTCTACCCACATGCTGTGGGTTGCTTGAGAAAAAGTCCCAACAGCTATTTTTATCTTGATGTGAGGGGGTGGATCCTTTACCTTTACCGGAGACAAGTTTAAGTCCTTCGAAGCCTCCGAAAAATTGCCCCCCTCCTCCGCCTCCTAGTAAAACTGTCATTACCTCTTACGTAGACAGGGGCCCTAGATCAAGTTTTTGGTCCGATGCAGGGGGAGTGCCCTTGCCCGGAGTTCCCGAAGGCTTGCAGGAGTGCGATGCACTCTAAGCGTGGGCCCCTGGGCAGAGTCGATCTGCTAGCGGTCGTCAGTCCCATGCCCTAGAAAGACAAAATGTGTTGGGTGAAAAACTGTGATGCCATCTTAGCTGGCCTTTTTGCCAGAGGCATAATGCCAAGGGCCTTTTCGCATGTTTGTGGCGTCCTGGGCATCAAATTTCCATATGTTTCTTGTTCTTGCGTTTTGCTGTTGCTAGGGCAAAGCGGCCCCCAAATCACCGATACTCTGCTTCCGCCGAGGATGAAGTGTGCCGGTGCTGGGAAGGTGAAGGTTACAGTCAGGTCCATCAACAGCAAAGTTCGTTTTGAAGTGAAAGCTGGACTTGGCAATGCCCGGTGCACAGTGGGCAGCTGAAGTGCATCATATATCAAGCTCTGTACCAAGTGAGGCGGTCCGGCCGGCAGATGCGTGCCCTGGGGCAGCTTGAGTAGATCGAAGCCTCGTGAGCCTCCGGTCGGTCGAGTCTTGCCAGGCCTTCGTGTCAGCAAATCCTAGCAATTTCCGGCTGCAAGCAGGGATCTCGTTCCAGGGAGTTGGCCCTGGCACGCTGCCGCAGAGGAGCCAATGCAGGCAGGGTGTCTTGCACAGCTGGCCTTGCATGTGCATTCCGCTCGACAGCGGCCACAGGTAGTAGGTATTGTATTTTGCCAGCCTTGCCAAATGGCTAGATGTTATGAGAGAGTATATGAAGGAAAAAAGCCTTTCCAAAGTCGGCAGGTGTGCACCACAAAATGGGTCGAAAAGATTGGAATGCCGCGTAGGTCCTCAAAGGCCAGATTTTCAGCAGCTGCGGTCGACCGCAGAAACAGAGTTTCAAGATTACGGCACTGGACTTCCTGGACAATAGTCCTGGGACACGGTGGCGGCTGATCGACATTGCCTTGATTAACTCTTGACAAGGTCGGGTATTTTGAAAGCCCAGTGTTTCTCTCATGGAGCTTAAGTTCTGCACCGAATCCCAGCGGCATGAGCAATCCAAATCGAAGGAGATTCCGACCGTGGTGCAATTCGAAATCCGTTTGGAAGAGGATGTCCGGTTTAGTGCAGGGTGTGGCCCTAAAACTCTGGACAAGGCACCTGTGGAGGCATGCTGTCGCAGAGGACGAGGACCAAGTGCTGTAGTGGCAATTCTCCTCAGCTGAATCAGCATTCCACATAAGCTCAGAGTGGAGTGCAGATAAATCTGTGGGGGTTGTGGGCCGAGCTCCGAGCGAACGGGCGCTATGCAGACCCATACCATACGCACTCTAAGCAATAGACAAAGTACACGGTGTAGGGCTCACGGTATATACGCGACGTAGGGACAACTATTCGGATCACGGGCTCCTGAAAAGCATCTGGCGACCTCACCAGGAAGCATCGAAACGCGCGAGTCGTGGCAGCCGCAGGGAGAAGCCAAAGACTGCCAAGTTTGCGAACCTGCCGTGACATTCAGGACAATGGGTCATGCCAACAGGGGCTGTGTGGCAAGGCCGCTCAAAGTTCCAAAAGGCGACCCTGACAGTGGCAAACCTTGCTGTTTCATTGCGCAAAGCTTGCCCTTTGGTGCAGCCTCATCAGTGTTCGCGTTCAATAGAC